TTTCTCTCTCTCTCTCTCTCTCTCTCTCTCTCTCTCTCTCTCTCTCTCTCTCTCTCTCTCTCTTGTGTTCGCAGCCCTTAGGCTGCGGTATAGTGGGCTTTCGCGTCTGTGTCAAGGTATCGCATTTTTGGCGGCGGGCGACCAGGACGCAAAGTGGGTTCTTAGGGGGCAAAAAAAATTGGGGGGCCGGTCCTTGGCCAAATTGCGGACTACCTACAGCTAACTCTGGTAGAACCGGGACTTTTGGAAAAAAAAAGGACCGATTCTCGGGTGGAAGTGGACCCCAAAAAGAAGTGGGGGGCGTTGGAYCGGTCCCCGGGTAGAAGCGGACCCCAAAAAGACGTGAGGGCACTGCAAAAGGGCCCTCAGGCCCAGACATTGAGCCCCGTCTTCTCAAAACAGGGAGGTCAGGCACAACGAAATAGGCGTTTTGCAAGAGGCAACTTTGGCGATTTTTTGTGCTCGGACGAACATGCACAATTATCTGAAATTTTGAGAATTCATAGATGAGGTCGTGTTCTTTCCAGAAATAATAATGGAACATTTACAAAAAAATCATTTACAGTGCGAAATAATCGTCGCGCCGATTCGGCACATTCTACATTTTTGCCACTCAGCCATGTCTGGGCCAACTAAAAAAGTACTCCAAATTCAGTGAGTTTTCACGCTCAGAAGAATGAGTGAAAAAACCTGAAAATTGGAGTACTCGTAGATTTTGTTGTGATCTTTCCAGGAAAAACGCTACATAAATTAAAAAAAAATATTCCAACTGTAAAATAGATTGCGGCCGCAATTTGACCCATATTTTAATTTTGCCATTCAGTCTCTCCCTCTCTCTCTCTTTCTTTCTTTCTCTCTCTCTCTCTCTCTCTCGCGCGCGCGCGCGCACGCGCGTGACCGCCGTCGTTGTTCCGTCGACAGTATGCGAGGAAGGCCGACGCACTTGGTGATTGCGAGGTGAGTTCCCCCGCCCTCTTCTTGTTCCTCCGTGTCACCTCCGTGTCACCTCCCTCGTCTGTCCTGCCCCCTTCGTCTGTGTACGGTTGCACGGATGTGAAGCGCCTTCCGTGTTTGGCTTTTGATCCATCGATAAGAAAAGGAAAAAAAAAAAAGAATATGGATCAAACCGCGGGGCATGAGTTATATTTTTGTTGAAAAAAAAGAGTACAAAAAGATCCATAACAAAGAAAAAATGAATCAAAGGAGCAAAGCAAGAAGGAAAGAAAGACAGAAAGGAGAAGAAGAATAAGAAAAAGAAAAAGAAGAAGAAGAAGAAGAAGAAGAAGAAGAAGAAGAAGGAAAAGAAGAAAAAAAAAAAAAACAAAGGAAAAAAAGAAACATTAGCGGGTAACAGCGGCCCTACCATGTCGCAGGGCGCCGATCGGCCGAACCCGTCAAACCCCCTCGAACAACCTTTTTTTTTTTGTGTGAAAACAAAACGAACCTTTTCGCTGCCTGTTGGCGCCATAGCTCCAGCGGCCAACGCCTTTCAGCGGCCTTCAGGCAAAGGTGCCACCTTGCACTGTGTAGGTACGGTTAGGATGACGACAGGCCAACGAGGTTAGGATGAGCACAGAGCATCTTGCCTGTGGCGGGCGCTGTGGATGACGACGGAGAATAAGAAGAAGACAAATGAGAAGAAGAGGAGGACGAAGAAGAAAAAGAAGCTGAAGAAGAAGAAGAAGAAGAACAGGAGGAGGAAGAAGAAGAAGAAGTTGAAGAAGAAGAAGCTCTCTCTCTATATATATTCAAACCAAAACGAATCAAAACAAAAACAAATAATCATTCAATCAATCAATCAATCCTTCAATCCAATCAATACAATCATTGATTGATTGAATGATTGATGACTGTGTATGTGTGTGCCTGTGCGTGTGACTCTGTGTGTGTGTATGTGTGTGCTCTCTCTCTCTCTCTCTCTCTCTCTCTCTATATATATATATATATATATTCAAACAAAAAGTAAACAAAACATAAACAAATAATCAATCAATCAATCATTCAATCCATCAATCCATCAATCCAATCAATACATTGATTGATTGATTGATTGATTGATTGATTGATTGATG